TTTTTAAAAAAAAAAAGAAAACTTAAAGCAAAAAAATAAGACTCTCCCTCCCAATCTGCCACACCAGAAACCAAGCCCAGGCCCCCAAGCTTGGGATTTTAGCCTGGAAGGCTCCGTTGTAATAAATGGTATTTTAAAAGCCCAGCGTGGTCCCTGTGTGTTTGGGAGGAAGCAGCTGGACACGGGGCATCCTTGTGCCCTGCTGCCCCGCTGCCAGTGCTCCCGCGATGGAAAGGGACGGTGGAGAAGTGTTGTAGGATCCAACCACCAAAACAAAAAAACCCCTCGGTACAACAAGAGGTGGCTTTACCACCGGACTGACTTTGCATGTCCCACCTGTGTGTCCTTGTAGGCCCCCCAAACACAGCGGGTTCCGGCAGGAGAAGGCTTTGCGGGACTGGCGGGCAGGGCAGGGGAGCAGGAGGGACCCAAACCTCTGCTCGCCCTCCCTGGCCAGGAAGGTTCCTTTGATGCCATCCCTGGCAAAGATGCTGCTGCTGCCGGAGTAAGCGCGTAGGGATGGAGGATGGCCAGGATGGCACGTAGGCTCCCGGTGGGGATGCTCCCAGCAGGGATGCTCCCGGTGGTGTCCCCTCCCACCCCGCATTGCTCCTCTTCCCGGCTCGCCTCGGTAGAGCACCTTGGAGTCACCCGTTTCGCATGCCCATCCTCAGCCACGGATGCAGGAGCACGGTTGCGGCTCCAGCGAGCTTACGCTCAAGTCTTTTCACACTTTGCAGCACCAGCGAGCAGGTAGGACGATGAGTTTCTTTCCCTTTCGAATCCGGGTGCTCCGCCGTTGCTTCCGAGTCCCGTTTGCCTGCCCCAGGCCAGGACCCGAGCCCCCGTGTCCCGGCACCGCATCCTGCATGTGCCTGGCCCTGCAGGAGCTCCCTGCCCGGGTTTGCATGTTTGGGGGACACCGCCGGGGCTGCCCGGGACAGGACCTCGGGCATGACACTTCCTGGCAGGTCCCCGAGAGCTCCTGATTATAGCACTTATCAATAAATCCGATGGCAGCGCGAAGGCTGGCGGGCAGCTCAAGGGGGCTTTCTGGGGCGAGCAGAGCCCCTTTTTCTCACTAAGCACCGCATGGATTTGCAACGCAGCTATTGCGACACGCAGAGCCCTGGCTCGGTGCAGCCAGAGCAGGGAGAACCGCGGTTTCCCCCTCCAGCCCCGGCAGCAGCAGCTTCATCACGGGCCGGGGGGGGCATCAGCAGCATCACTTAGCCCCGGGGTCCCATCCCCTGCACGCTCGAGGGACTGAGATTTCAGCCTCTTAACTTTTGCAGGCGACTAAAAAAAACCACGGGACTCACGGCGTAGGCGTGAAGGCAGAGCCCAGGTTTGCCGCTGAGAGTTTTCCCCGGCAGGAGCATCGCTGGTGGGGACCGTTCCCAGCAGGATGCCGGCGTGGCAGAGCATGAACGCCACGGGCTGCGTTCTCCGTGCCACGCGGAGCAGCAGCCGAGCATCTGGTCCAGCTCCTTCGGTGCCCACTGCAACCTAGAACAGACCATCGCCCGCGCTTACAGAGCAAAGGGGAAAAACAAAAAAAAAAAACAGATGAGAAAGCAGGAGGGTTGGTTTTTTTTTAAAAAGTTTATTCTTCCTTCATAAAGAGACATGTAAAAACTGGAAATAGCAAACTGGCTGGGCCAGAGCTCTGTATAAAAACACACAATCATGCATAGTAAAAAAAACAACACTATTTTTATATTAGCTTTTAAGTTAATATATGTACACGTTTACAATTACCAAATAAATACATAAATACAAATTTTCTGCTTGCATTTTACGGACAGGAATTTTTGAGGTGGCGGGGAGGAGTGGGGAGAAGGGGCGGCAGCGGGAGGGACGGGCACTGTGCAGCACAGGGCAGCCCCGGCCGCGGAGAGGGGCTGGTGATGCCCTTCGCACCCTCCCACCGCAGCGGGGAAGGTCCTGGTGGTCCGGGCTGTACCGGGGTGGCAGCACACGTAGTCAGCTCAAGTAACGCAGTAGTTTTTCCAGCCAAGTTGTCCCTGAGCTATGGGTGAGAGGCAGAGCAAGGGGCAAAACGTTTGAGGAGCAACCCATCCAGCTGGAGGATGGACGGCGGGTACCCACAGTCACGCTCGGACCTCAGTGCATTCACTTTTCCGTGCTGGCTGGTGACAGCCGGGGACAGCAAAGCCACCCCGTGGCCAAGGAAACGGGATCTAACCGATTTGAGCAAGGTCATGGAGGAGGAGGTCTCTGGCACACTGATAGATCTCCATCCTGCTCCGAGGAGGAGCTCACTCGCTCCCCGCACCGACCCAGCGATGACAGAGCAAGTAAATCACGGGGTCAGTCTCTTCTCCCAAGTAACAGGCGAAAGGACAAGAGGAAACGGCCTCCAGTTGCGCCAGGGGAGGATGAGGATGGATATTGGGGAAAAGTTATTCACAGAAAGGGTTGTCAAGTGTTGGAACAGGCTGCCCAGGGAAGGGGCTGAGCCTCCATCCCTGGGGGGATTTAAAAGACGGGTAGACGTGGCGCTGAAGGACAGGGTTTAGGGGTGGACTCGGTAGTGCTACGTTAAAGGTTGGACTTGATGTTCCTAAAAGTTTTTTCCAACCTAAACAATTCTGTGATTCCAAATCATTCCCACTCTCCCCTCAGGGTCCAGTTTCAAACTGATTCCTAACAGCAAGCAGAACCGCTACCAGCTAAAATGCAATTCAGTCAACAGCTTTGAGAAAGTAACCCAAGAACCCAGTTAATGCTTGCCCACCGAGCGTACAGTACGAAGCCTGCTGGCCAGCTTAAGAGATGTTCTACAAGCAGAAGCCATTGCGTGATGCCAGGAACCCCCTCGGAAAAAAAAAGGATGATCCAGTTAAAAACCACGTCCTGCAAAAGCCCTTCTCTGCACTCATCCTGAAGATGTCTGTATGGTACCAGTGCTTCCAAGCGAGACAGTCCCAGAGGCAGCTTGCGATAGTTTTTAGGCTCTTTGCTTTGACCCAGTGAAATCAAGGCACCAGCCTGGATTTCCCAAGGAAGCACCGACATTGAGCCCGTAGCTTCGGCAGAGAGGACCCTGAGGTTTGTACTTTGTGAGAGGATCAAATCCTCTGGGCTCAGCTGTACTCTACAATGGCTCCAAAAAAGAGGAGAGCTAGAAAAAGATAAAAATCAATTGTCCTTAAGAGGTATTCATGGCTTTAGCTTGAAGTGGGGAGATGCAGGGCCTGCCCTGCTCCTCAGCTCAGTTCGTATTGGAAAAATCCCTGCTGGACCAGCTTGGAGGAGATGTCCTCTGCAATCCCACTGAGGTTGATCTGGTGCAGGGTCTCCAGCAGCGTGTTCACGGAGGCGTTCATCCCTTGTCTGTTATGCCACGTGTTGAGCATCTGGAAGAAGGGCTCCAGGGAATACTTGTCGTTCATCTCCGCCAGGGCAATATCATTCTCCAGCAGATCAAGGGCTCGGCCGTATCTCTTCCAGTCCTTC